CACATTATTTATTTTATTTACTACCGAGAGAATATAAAAAATGATAAAAAAAATTTATTTTCTATTGAAATTAATGGAAGCTTTTAGTTGCACTTCATTCAAGAATATTTAAATGATTAAACATTTCTACAATACTATAAGTCTATATATGATTTTTATAAAAAATTTAAAGCATTATTTACTCACTAAATAAGATATAAAAGTGAGATCTAAGTATTCCACTAGAAAACTTTATTACACTGTGACATGATGGACACAGAAGTGACTTTCTGAAAAACTTCATTGGCTTATGGCAGTGCATGTATGTTCTTCGAGTTTTACTTCTTTACCATTTTACAATTGCAGAAAAATATTGAAAATATGATTGTTAAAGATATACATATAATGTAGTATAAGATAATTATAGAATATGACTTCAAATTATTTTATATATGCTATTTATATACGATATATAAAATTGATTCTGTGTGAATATTAATTAGCTTTGATGAATATAATCATTTTATGTCGGATACTTCGTAAACATTTAAACTTTATTTAAACTTTCATATAATTTACTATAGTGCTTGAAACATTTTCTTTCTAAATATTTATAGTTTATATTTATTTAAATAATTCACCAAAATTATAAGTGCAATTTATTTTAAGTCATAATTTAATCATTATATTAACGGTAACTTTTCAAAATTATATTTTATGTTGTAGGATATAAAAAAAGTCTATTTCGAGAAACTTTAAAATAATATATAAATCTGCGTTTGTTAGAGGAATAATTAAAATATACAATTGCCGAATTTAAAAATAAGAATAATAATTGCTATAATATTAATAATAATTTTAGAATAAATAAAGTATTATATATATAGTATTTAGTATATATAGCATTATAGTATTTATATATATAATATTTAGTATTATATATTTAGAATAAATAAATAAAGTATAATAAATATAGTATTTGAATTATAATACAATTGCATTAACAGTGAAATAAAGTTCATGTTTTTTATTTGATTTATAAACTATATTAAATAAACTATATTAAAATTAACTGAACATTCAAGAAGAAGATAAAAATAGAATTTTTCACATATATTTAAATATTTTTATAATGAAAGGTATCATAATTCAATATATTATTAAAATTTTTACTATAAAAAATAAAATTAGTATACTTTTATTATAAATTTGCATGTAAATTTGAAGTTAGAGTACATTCATTTTTTATTAAATTATTTGTTTGTCAACAAAATACAATTATGTTCTACTTTCGATCATGTAAATTATTATTTTATTTTATTTAAATATCAGAAAAATGTTAATAACAAAATTAATATAAAGAAAAATCCTTTTAAAAGAAATAGGCCTATTTTGTAATGTGCAAGGTAATCCTATAAATTAAAAATAATCGTGTTAATAAATACCTATGATAATGAATTCTTGTAAAAACATTATTATTCAATGCGTGTCAGAAACTTTTTTTTAATTACTCTGGTACAAAAATTTAAAAAATCGACAAATGTCGATCTGTTACCGAGAATATACTAGTTGCCGATAAAAGATTGAAGTACTGAACTATTATGCATGAAAAGTACCTTACAGACTCGCCCAACGATTATTACGTATCTCAATTATATTGTGTATATATAGTGTAAGCCTTACGTCACTAAAATTCGAGATCTTGGCACAATATCTCAACACGAAAATGGAAAACTAGCACGCGTCGTGCTATGACTGTTCGATATTTATGTTGTTTAATTATCGAGTGCATGCACAAAATATTCTTTATATATAGACATTTTAATATCAAAAAGAAAATATTCTAATTTCATGTATATTTTTATATTCTTATTTAGAAATAAGTGCAAGGTAATTTGATAAAGGTAAATGTTTTCAAGCATATTAAACTAGTTTTTTATTGTAAAAGATATACTTTTATTAGTCAGATAGTAAATATGAATGACAAAGTATATTGAATGTATATTTGGAACTTTAAAGTCTAATAATTTTATATTAATTTCTTGTAACTTTATATTTGCGTTATGAACATTGATTTAATATTAATCTAACGTAATAAATAAATAATGTGTTTAATAAACTGATTAGATCAAACTGAATTTATTTATTTTCTGCATTATAATATAAATTAAATATATTATATCAATCAAAATATTTATGTAAATATATTGAATTATTTTTTTGAGTTTAATTTATTGGTCTTAAATAGTGTTATTCTCAAAATAATTTTAATTGTAATTATTTCCAAATAATTGTAATAAATGTATAAATAATAATTTCAAACTCTACAAAATATTAATAAATATTTATATATAAAATACTTTAATTTTCATATCTGTTTAGTAATTTCTTAATTCGAAATTAATAAATTGATTAGAGATAAAAATTATCTGAAAACATTTTATAAATTATTGTAACAATATTTACAAAAATTACTCATACAAATATTAAATAATATATTTCAGAATATTTCATTTTTCCATATACTTATAAAATTGAAATTGACAAATTTATTAAATCAAATATAAAATATTCATAAATAATTAACCAGGTAAGGAGTTCAATTGAAATTTGAGAATTTTGGTTTCTTTAACATAAATGGCAGCTTAAAAATTAAAAATTTAAATATTAATATTGATCATATTTTAAATTTATAATGTAGAGAAACTCTTATATCTCTTAAATCAATCTATAATAATGGAAATAAGAGTTATACATAGGTATATATATACATAGTTATATATATATATATATATATATATATATATATATATATATATATATATATGTATATTGCTTTAATCTCTTGCATAGAAGGAAGTATTAGACTCATAGTTTTGAATATTCTATATACTAAATGCTTTATACTTTGTACAAAACAAAGCAATTCATAAATTGTAATGAATTTTAATTCCCCAATAGCATGTTTCTTACTCACTAAAATCTAGGTTAACGTAAGTTTATCGTTTTTATGTGTATAACTCAGCCCAAAGCTCGCATAAGTTCAACACATTATTTTTTTAAAAATATGAAGTAGCTTATAACTTAAACTAGTTACTCTAAAAGTGATAACAAGCGTTCCTATTTTGCAATTTACTTTAACTTTATAGCCAAATTAATGTACAGTAAAGTGAGTGAATACAGTAGGGGCCAATAGAACGTAAAAAACCACAGAAGCTTGGATACCCTCACACAGAATCAGTACAATGTCCTCATATTTACCCTTGCCACTGCCACCATTTTCTCTTTATCCTTCTCTTGCTCCACCACGTCCTCATTGTGAGCGCGAACACTTGTTGCACGGCTGCATTCGGTGTGAATTTGGAGGGCGCACCTCACATAAAAAACTCTTAAATTTTTTTCAGTGCGCGACAAATCATCGATTTGTTCTTACACGCGAAGCTCTCTTCTTGTCAACAGTTGAAGTGCCAAGAACTTCTTTGGTAGTTATCGTATTTCATGGGCTGTTCAATGTTTTAATTAATTGCCGAATGATATTGATTTTCTGATGTGCTAATTGTCTTTGTGTTACATGTCATATTATTTATTCAAAGTTTATGCTTTTGTAATACATATTCATTTTTCATACTTTGTTGTCTTCAAAAAGTAAAAAACAAAATTTTCAACTATTCTTACCACATAATCTATTATTACTAAGATTAATCTTTATAATTTAGTAATATTTATTCAAATTCAAATTTATTTATATTCAAATATTAGTAAAATTTATTTAAATAAAAAAAAATGCTTTTAGTTTATATTAATAACATAACAAATTTTTATTATAATTTTTAACTCGATTAACAATAAAACATATTTAAATAGATTTTTCCAAATTTTTTTGAATTTATGAATAAATAAAGTAACAAGAGAATTAAATTATCAACTACTTATTATTATATTAGTACTATTAGTAAATTAAACAAAATATACATTAACTGATCATATAAATTAAACGTGCAAAATTGTTTGGTATAATAATAATCCCGAAAAAAATTATACCGCAGAATATAATAATCTACAAATGAAGGTTATTTTCCGTGTACTTTCATTACATCGACCGACGAACTTAATTACTTGAAGAACTCGGGAAGGGTCTTAGTAAGTACATAAATGGCCGCCAAATGAGGGCAGCTCGTTTTTATGAGTAAAATTCTGAGCGAAAGGATAGGAGAAATAAAGACAGAGAGTACAATTTTATAAATATGTGTGAGTATAAGCATATAGTAGGACAAGGAAATTCATGGCGTTATCGAACATTGATTTCTCGACACTTAAGAGAGACAGAAAATTAGAGACAGGGAGAGAGAGAGAGAGAGAGAGAATTTGCACAGCTAGGAAACTCATATTAAATACTATGTAATAAGGCATTCCATTATGCGTGACTAACAACAAGGGAAGCTGAGGCATGGCTCAGCGCTTCACTACCTGTGCTTCATCGTTTGTTATTAGCAAGACGAATACGGATGCTGCTGCTGTACCACGCTGTAATGTATAATAAAATATACGAGAATTGATCTAGCTATTGCTGTATTAAGGATTCTAATAAATTAATTTACATACTATTTAAGTTTATTTTTAGGGATATAAACGTATAAATTCTTTAAAAAAAAACATTTTTTCTCAAATAAAAATTAATCTACAATTATATACATATACGTGCATTATATATTAAAGGCTTCTAAAGAGATTTTATTATATATTGTACGTGTATACTATATGTATATAAAGAACATTATAATATAATATTTATGTGAACTCTGATAGAAAATAATTGATATATTTAATTCAGAATTTAAAATGACAAATTCACGTATTTGTAAAATTATGACAGAGAGGAACACACTTGTTTCAATTTAACCTCTAAAACCTTAAATTTTCTTGTTTATTTAATTATATTTATATTAAAAATTAATAATAATTTTTCAAAAAATGAATTAAATCGATTCAATTTTATAAAATCCGATCTAAGCTTTATTGGGATGACATCAAAACATTCTTGGCCAACATTTTCTTCTGAATTATTAAATGATTTAAATTACGAGTATGATATCGAAAATTCTAATAACGATAAGAAGACAAATGGATGCAAGATTAAAGGAAGTATATTCAGTACTTTTGCTTTAATATTAAATGTTTACGCAAGTGAAAATTGTTTGTACGATAACGAAACATTTTCGATTTCAGATAGGTACGTATAAATATTTAATTATAATATTGGTATAATCGTCTTATTAATGAAAGGAATTAAATTTTAATTAACTTTATACAGTATAACAAAAGCACACGAATACCTGCGAAATGTTTTTACTATGATTAAAAACTCAAAAACGATTAATCTATCCTTAAGTTATGATGATAAGATTAAAATAGATTATAAATATACCCTAAAGACGCCATTGCAAAGTTACGAAAAAAAATGTTGGTTTTCAATATTAGCATCAAAATATCTCCAAAATTATCAGAAATTTAAAGAAAATTCATTGTATAAAAACACCAAGATGAAATTTGCTTCTACCGAGCCAATAATTTTTTTTTTCGATTGCAATTTATTTAAGAATTATTATAGTTACGATGAACACAATGACAAATATATGAATATAACTTGCATATCGATGAAATTGAATAAGTTTCAAACATTCGATTGTCAAAGGTATAATCACTTTTAAAATTTACTTCAAATCTATTATTATTAGATAATAATAAACGTACTATTAACCGTAAATTCATTGTACAATATAAGCATTTCCATAAATGATAAAGACCGCGGAAATACTTTTTTTTATCATTAGAGATAAAATAATTATATATAATTATATATAAAATGGTTATACACTTTTTATAAGATTTCAATAGAAATATTAAAAATTTATTAATTATAAAGTTTTAAATTTTTGTTAGTATTTCATTTAAATTCGTTTTTTAGTTATTAATTTTTAGTATCATTGTACTAATAGTACAATTTTATTTTATTTTTATAATAGCGTAAATAAAAAGTTTACTTATTCTCTTATTTAATGTATAATGAAAAAACTTGATAATAAGAAAAATTACATTTTACATTTTTAATGAGATTTTTTATAAATAACGTGCAATAGAATATATTTCTTTTAGATTTTGAACAAATATTTGTTTCTTTCAAGAACTTTGGAAATATAATTGTAAGAAATATGTACATAATTATAGAACTTATAATTATAGAATTGATAAGCAATGTATTGGTAAGCATTGCATAAACATAGGGCGTTTTCAATTCTATGAAATATTTGTAAAGCAAAGTAGTATTAATAATTAATTAATTTGAAATAATTTATTAGATTGAAATAATACTAATATCACTAATATATTCAATATCACTAATAACACTAATATCACTAAAATTAAATTTAGGATTAAAGCAGATATATACAGTAACTATTACAAAATATGGCCAAAATGTAAAGATCAAAATACCAATACTACCCAGACACTTACACATGAAAGGCAATCTGATAAAGCAATACAGTGTTCGAAAAGTAATGAGTTTCTGCAGATCTCACCTGACATTAAATTTGCTTCACGATCATCACTTGTAATAAATATGGATCCTAAGAACGTTAAGTATCGGCAATATCATCAACAACATCGTTGCTCTGAACATATATCGAAACGGAAATTTATTACATCGGTCGTACCATCACTAGAATATATTGCTAACTACAAACCGAATTTTTATGACGAAAATAAACAAAATTTTCTTAATTTGCGAAGTTTCTCTACTAGTGCAACATTTGGTTTTCAGAAAAGAATTTTGAAAACTCGGCGTGTAGCTGATAATGTGGACAATACTTTAGAAGATAAAGATAATGTCCGTATTGAAAGTATAATTAACAATTTGATTTTATATGTTGTACAAATACCGATATGTAAATATTTGAAGCTAAAAACTCATGCGTTTCCATTTAATAAATTCACAAATCGTTATAAAAAATTATAAATTTTGAATTGCTTAAAAGGCAATTTATATTTCTTTTGTTCATTTCATGTTTATATAACGTAATTATAATATTATACTAGAGGGATTTTTTAAAAGAAAGATAAATTACTTTTTTTGACAAATTTAATATCATTGTAGGAAAATTGAATAAATAAGATATTATTTTGTATAAATTTAATATTAGTTATCTTAAATTTCAATGTTTAAATAATATATTTTTCAAATAACAATGCAGTGTATTGTTTTCTGAACTAAATTATAAAATAAAATCACTCAAGAAAAGTTGACTATATAAAAAAAAATTTTATTATGCAGTGTAACACATTTCTTGTAAGAAGTAAACTAAGGAAACATAGACGTGGAAGCATTCAACGCTTAAAAAATACGATAAATAGAACAGAGAATGAATTAATTAAATACTCAAGTTTTATTGAAGATGATTTGATCTCATTTCGTCATAATAATAGGTCCAAGATGACAAAAAAATTGAGATCCAGAAATTTAGAAAAAAGCGATATTCTTATGGTTAAAAAGATTCTTCTAGATGATTACATTACGGAGGTTAGAGAGATTATTCATCCAGAGGGTTCTAAAATGGAAGGATCGCAAGAAACAAAAATTCTCGAAAATGTAAAGAAAAGAATGGACATGGATCCGGTGGAAGTGAAATTTTCAGCGTCGATGCAGGAATTTATGTGCCCGACGTTATCGTCTAGAAGCAGCAATTGTTGCTCATTTATTCCCTATAGTGATGACTGTGATAAAAATGTATTCCTCGGTAAAAGTAATCCTTTTTTTGATAAAAATTTAAAAATTGGTAAATGTTGCTACGTTTGCCAAACAAATGGACAATGTTTATGTAAGCCAGATTTCGAGACCGAGAAGAATCAATTATCCGATGTCATTAAACTTACTAAAAGTTGTGTCTCTTCTAGTATAAAGAAGAATTTGTTGCGGCAATACTCGTCAGGTTTCAAAAATAAAAATTATGGTAACTATTTTAATTTTTTAATAATAATTTAAAAGATTCTGTACTATTACTTACTGTATACTTTGTGTATAACTTCAAAATACATTAATAAATTACAAATTATTACATTATTGAAAAGTCACACAAGTAGAATAATTTTTAAAACTAGGACAAAAAAAATGAAATTACCGCTATTTTTTAATAACAACATATCTTAATAGCAATATATAATAAACTAATTAGTTTAATCAGGATGTAAAAACACAATTATATATACTGTATACTTTCATATTTAATAATAAATCAATATAGACAATATAATTTACATAGCAATTATGTATATTTCTTCTTGATAAACATTATTATTTTATTTTATTTTTGTAGTTCTATAAAATCTTAAATAAAATTTCATTAGGCACTTGCTTAAATAATATCAAATTTTACGAACATATTTGATTAATATCTAGCAAATAATTGCAACAAATCCAATATGTAAATAAATTAAATTTTGGTTTGAATAGAAAAATTATGAACTCTAACAGGTACATTTGAAATATAATATTTTTAGATATTATTTTAATAATAAGATTTAGAGAATAGTATTTATGGTTCAGTAAATTTTAAAGTGGCATATTAACTTATTTACGTTGTTGAATGGAATGATAATATAAATACTAAATTCAATATATTAATTTCATTTACTGGCTCTGTCTCTTACAGTATGTGAATTAAAAAAAGTAAAAAAGAATCATCCGTGCAACCTCGAAGTTAAGTCTAGTCTCTCAACAGATTTAGGTGTCCAAGTGGATTTTTCGCATCTTTATAATGACTGGCAGTCGTTAAATGATCTCAATGTTAACACAAGCCAAGATGAAATCGCGAAATTGTCCTCTAGGAGTTACAGTGACGATGTCTTATACCAGCGAGTCGAAAACGCCGTTCGGATATTTACTGAAAAGCTAATATTGTGTGAAAGACGAATCGGCGATCGTTCGAAAATACAGAAGCGACAACAGGATGAGCGATGGGTAGATCACGAACCTTCTATCTCCTTTATTTAACGTAGAGTATTTGTTCCTTTAAATTACGAAATTTTACAAACTTACAATATTCATAATTTACTCTTTCACAGGCTTTTTTTATTATACAATATGAAATTATACACATTTTTATATAGTAAGTTTACTTTATCATTTTTGTATATTATTTTTATATTCGGAATTAATTTGTATATTTATTTGAAAATCTTCAATATCCTAATAAAATAAAATGTCATATAATTGAACTTAAATATTGAGAAAGTTAAGCATTATGTAAATAAACATTACGTGGCATGCACAAAGCACTAGTAGAAATATCAAAATATCAGAAAAAATGTTATAAAATTTATTTTCTACAAAATTACTTAAGAATTTAATTAGAAATTTAATTTAATAGTAATGTAAAATTTTATAATGCTATTTATGTAGAAAGCTTCTTATTGTTTGATATTAATATGTTTATAATTAATATAATAAAATTAATATAAAATTAATTAATATTAGTAATAATATTAATATTAATATGTATAACATTAACATTAATATGTTTTTTAATTTGGTATTGACAATCATTTTAAACATATCATAAATCCTCGTAGAATTCCTAAATTAAAAGTGTCTTTATATTTTTAGCAATATGATTTTACTTGTTTTCTCATACTTGATAGATGTTGAATTTTTATTTACAGCTGTATGAAATGACAAAATTAAGAGTCAAACAGGATAATAAATAAATATTTGGAAATATATAAATGAATAATTACAAATTATAAATTAAATTGCATTTATGTTGACAGACAAATGATTAAACTTAATTTGTTTATAAACAGTTTTTTTATATATCATACTCTTAAAACTACAATAAAATATGAATAACGTTAAAATAACTGTATACTTTTATACGAAGTAATATTTAATAATAAGTATTATAAATATTTAAGCATATTTTGATGTAGACTTTAAGTAATATATAATAAGGAATTATGAACAATAATTGTTAGTTATGCATAAATAATTATTTTTTACTTATTTATAGTCGGATATACTGGCAACAGATCATAGCGCTAATAACACCTGTATTTATCCGTCAAATGCATGCTGTACCAGTGAAGATGAACAGATATCAGGAATTTCGACGTCATCCTTCATTTCTCTCACTGATTCGGAGATTCTTCCAGCTTTCAAAATGTCAATTTTAAAATAAAATTCCCACACCTTTATCCAATTTTGTATTTATACATTACTACAAGTTTTGGTCTTGTGTTCTTATAATATTTGTTATTTCCTATTTTTGATGAAACGTAGTTATTTATTTTTGTATTTATTTAGAAAAATAGTAAATAAAAAATAATTATTATGCATATTTAAAAGTATTATCAAGTAAATGGGCTTATATGTATTGCATTTGGAAAAACACGGTATATTAATATATTATATTTATTCTTGCAATCTCTTAATGTTTATAAGTAATCACATTACATGTAACTTATAAATGCTCTTGAATTAACAGTCTATTTATTAATACCTTAATTATACTTTTATCGAATATTAATCTATATTCTATATTATAACATAGTAGCAATTTTATTTGGCCGAATATAAGTATTAATAATCATAATTTTTTAATCACAGCCTATGAAATTATTTCAATGAACTAATTGAAAATTTATTAATTAAATTAGATTATTTTATATCCTAAGTATTTTACATTTATTTCAACATATTTTGAAACCACTATAATATTCTTTTCCAATAATGTTAATATACCAATAAATTAAACACAAAATAAATAAATTAATTATATATTTATAACAGATTACAGGATACATATTAAGTATTTCTTGTTGTTCATTTTCAATTTCTTTTCACCTCTGCATAAAATGGTAATTAGTTCATACTCAAATGTATGAAAGAAAATGTAATACTTAACAAGATAGAAGTCCGTTTGACGTGATTCCTTTGGTAATCAAAAGCGTAACAAACTTGTATAAGTTTTGCCGAAGCAAACAAAGGTGTCACTACGTAATAATTGAAGTATGTCGATGGCACTGTACCTTGATCTCGACCATGACCGCATCGTTAGAAGAGAACTGATTGTTTCCTCTCGGGTTCTTTTCTTTCTCGCTCTCTTGCTTTCACTTTGTGGTTTTCTGTAATGATGCTCTCAATGGTCGAAAGCACAAAATGCTCATTTTTATCATCGTGCCTTTATTTTACCAAGTTATAGTTTTCACCTTTAATTCCGAATTCTTAACTTAATTTTTTAAATATGAACAAAATTATAACAGAAGTTTGATATTGAAAAATTGAAATACTTTCAAATTAATTTATAAAAAATGAAGAGACAAGAATAATAGTGCATTGAGATAAAGTCAATAAATTTTTAAAGAAAGTTTTTTATCATAGTATATTTTTTGTTAAATAATGTAAAAAGTTGGTCTTTTGAATTCTTAAAATTTACCAAAAGTATCAACAAATTATTTTGAACATTGATAAAAATTTAATATTAAATTATAAAAATTGAAGAAAATATATTATTCGTATATTAATAGCATTCTTAATCTGCAATGTATAATAACGTATTTATAATTACAATATTAAAGTACAATTAACGTTATAAGATTTTTTTATTTTATTTTACTGCAACATTTTAATAAAATTACTGATTCTTAATTAATATATCTTTACATCATTCAAAAATTAATTATGCATGTTAAGTAAAAATTTGATAGATAAATAATGTAGGTAATATTTTTTATTAAAAAACGTAAGTCTTAGGAACTTTATTTTATCTTTCTCTTTTATCAAGTATATTTCAATATTAAACGAGACATTGTATTTTTTTTCTCTTTATACAAAATATATCCATTTATATTTATATGCCTTTAGTTTTTTTAAAAGCTGACCGTAAGATAAAGGAATAAAAAGGACAACATTGGTAACTCGCGCAGTTGAACTCACGACGTCCTTTTAAAGAAAAGGAGAGCGAGTGAAACGTGGCTTCAGCGCAAAGACAGGCTTCCGTGATCAAAGTAAATGTTTGTCAGTCGTATGGCAGGCGGATGTGAGGATTTTCTACTGAAAGCTTTTGAATTGTCCATTTCAGAAGAAAACAAGTGACCAGTTTTCTGGAAAGTACGTTATTTGAATTTATTTAGAAGTTTATGGTACGTTATATAAAATTACATATTTTTTATTAATACATGCTCAGTATTAATACATACCAGTATAAATACTAGCTTATATCTTAATACCTTATCATGCATTATAAATTATTGATCATTAATAATCGTGGCTAATGTTTGTTAATCAACTTTAAAGCTATAGAATTTGCTGATGAATAATAAGTCTAATTCCGTAGAAGGCTCACCACGAAAATATCAGTGAACTATAGCAATATATCAATTCATCGGCTCGTATGGATTGATGTGTTCCACATCTGTATGAGCAATCAAAAGACTCTTCCACTCCATTTGTCCCTCGGGTGCTCGTGCCCCCCCCCCGCTGCCGCCGGTATATTAACTACCCTACGCGCACCTCAGAGGCTCATTCATAACGAATAAATGGGAGTGCGGTTTGACGCAACAGCCCAGCCAAAGAGATCGGCCACTTCCATTTACGCGGGAGAGGCGAAACGCAGATACAGTGCAAGGAATTAGACGTGCACGCGCTCGGAGATCAAGCGCTAAGGTGATTTGCTAGGGCTCATCTCTCACGGGGCGCCTCCTCTCAATACCTTGAGTACGAGATTCTTTACGCGTATACGCCCTTTGCATTTGTGGGGCCACAGCAAGTAATTACGCGATTTCCAGTTCGCGCTTTTTGTACGTCGCTCTTTCATCGGGATCCGCGCCAAGACTTAATGGGGTCATGTCTGATCTCGTGGGCGCTTCCTCCATAAGGTTATTGAAGCGTATAAGAGCGCCTCGTACCTCATACACCAGAGCTTTCAATCTGGGTATTTAGCTTCATTGTGGATCACGATTATCAGTTTAGTAAAGAAATAAGATTATATTATTTCATACGCTTGAGAAAATCAATTTAAATTCTTTGTGTTAATCTGAAGTAAAGATTTTTATTTTTTGTGCAAATAGAACTTTTATATCTAATTATTTAGTATAATAGAATCAAAATATCAACGTTATGATATCCGGAATAAGTTGGAAAATATAAATCCGGCATGAGCTGTAAAATATGATATCCTGAATGAACTGGAAATAATAGCGATAGTTATTTACATAAAATTGAACATTTCATTTATTCTCAGATAGATTCTAGATTCGAACTTTAAATTATGATTTTAGAATTATCAGTAATTGAGTATCAATTTACATTTATATCTTTATTTTAATATCAAACGTTCCTTAAAGAATGACATTAACTTAGAATTTTTATAATTTTTTCTTATGAATTATTACTATCAGATTACGAATTCTCATATGCTTTGGTATTTCTCTATTATCTAAAAAGATTATTACCTTTATACTATTGGGATACTACAGCAACGCACGGAATTCCCATCAATATTACAGAGTAAAATTAATCTTAAAACCATATTTATTATAGAATTTCAGAAATAGATTATTATAAAATTTAGTGTATGAACAAATAATATTAAGAAATCTCATAGAAATATTAAATTATACAACAATTTAAAAAGTAAATAATAAAAAAGTAAAATATAAAAAAGTTTTATAATGTTTTGAAGATTAATAGTATATAAAATATGTTTTTAACAAGTAATCTAGATAAATCTAGAGAAACAATTACTGTTTTTATTAAAGAAATAAAATCTTTACAAAATACCGATATATTTGATATATTATCTGAATCTCATAGGACATTCATTTACTTTCAAAAATTTTTCCCACACTTATAAAAGTTCAAAAATGTTTAAATCTTATGCATTACGTTTTGTTATGCTTACTTTGATTCTGGAAAATAAATATTACTAGAAATCAAGAAAAAGTCTTGAAAACTCTTGTACTTCTCAATGGAAAAGTAGTTATGATGCTAGTAGGATAAGCTTGGAAAAACGTTGTAAATCCTAAGATTCTATCTCTTCTGCTCTATATTTTTCTCGAAGAAGCTTTTACAGTTATTATATAAATCCGTACGATATTTGTTGTCCTATGGATCAACTGCTACGTACATGTCTACATAGAAATATACTCATTGTGGTTAGAGTCAATGGATCTGTGATTGTTTGTCGTATGATAAAAGCAGTGCGGAGCTGTTAGTCCTCTTAAATTGCGCCTGACTTCTTTAACTGATTGCTTTTTCGTACGATGTTTCATTCTCTTGAACATCTTAACGATTCACACGTTGTTGTAATCTTTTATTTCGAATAAAATCGAAATTATTTCTTTTGTTGGAGTATGTGTTCAATTGTTCGAGAATCGTTGTAACTATACTGTAACTAGCCACATAATCGTTTATATTCTATCATAACGGAACTATTTTTATATTACTTCCATCAATTCAAACGCTATATAACCATTAACATACATCGTTAAAATGTATTTATATCATACTATTGGAAAAGTTGATAATAGTTTTTAAATTATAGCTAAAAGTATTATGACTTTCTTAGAATGAACATCCTTTTCCTAAAAAATATTTAATGCCTTATCAAAAATAATAATTAAATCTATGTAAAATTAAATGTAAAAATGTAAAAATTAAATGTATATATATATATATATATATATATATATAAACACAGAAGACAGATAAAAAAATATCAAATATAAAATGACGATTAAATATTTTCCATAAAATTAAATAATTATAAATTAATTATCAAATGTCCTCACAAATAAAATACGCAAAACTGTATACAAAATATAAAAAATATTGAGGGTTAAATTATTCTTTCATTTGATGCTCTGTGTTTAATGTATAGGAAGAAATAAAGATGATTGCTATTGCTTATGCTTGGAAAAATCCTCGAAAAATCCTAAGGGGGACGACGAGGAGTGACGCTTTGGACAATTACATCGTTCACGCGCTTAAGACTCATACCCCCATTTCGTGCCTTAACGCACGTATTACATGAACTCAAAACATTATTTTTCTTGAAAAGATTGAGCGGGGTTTAGATAATGTTTTCATGGTCAAATCACTTTTACGAGATATAATGAATTTATTTTTTTTTTTTTACTGGACATTTTGGCAATCAATATTAATATTTATTATTTTTCA